GGTGGTCTTAAACTCCTGATCTCAGGTGACCTGCCCGCCTCAGCCTCCCAGAGTGCTGGGATTACAGGTGTGAGCCACAACAGCCTCCACACACATTTAATCTTCGCAGTGACCAGATGCGGTAAGTATTGTTAGGATCCCATTTTATTTGTACGAAGTGGTCACCGGCCTGGCCCAGGTAAACCTGAGTCAAAGGAGACAATGGTCCCAGCTGGTGGGAAGACCCAGACCATAACCGAAGGGGAATGCATGTGTGATGCCAAGTGGAGAAGGCTGTCATGGCCGAGGGAACCAGGGCTGCAGTGGAGAATAACAAGGCAGGCCTCTTTTCTTTTTTTTTTTGAGTCTTGCTCTGTCACCCAGGCTGGAGTGCAATGACACAATCTCAGCTCATTGCAACCTCCACCTCCCATGTTTAAGCGATTCTTTCACCCCAGCCTCCTGAGTAGCTGGGATTACAGGCAACCTCAATCATGCCTACTTAATTTCTGTATTTGGTTTTTTAATTTTATTTATTTATTTGAAACGGAGTCTCACTCTATTGCTCAGGCTGGAGTGCAATGGCCCGATCTCGGCTCACTGCAACCTCCGCCTCCTGGGTTCAAGTGATTCTCCTGCCTCAGCCTTGTGAGTAGCTGAGACTACAATCAAGTGCAACCACGACTGACTAATTCTTTTTTTATTTTTTGAGACAGAGTTTTGCTTTTGTTGCCCAGGCTGGAGTGCAATGACGCTATCTGGGCTCACTGCAACCTCCGCCTCCTGGGTCTAAGGGATTCTCCTGCCTGAGCCTCCCGAGTACCTGGGACTACAGGCGCTCAACACCATGCCCGAATAATTTTTGGTATTTATTTATTTATGAGACAGAGTTTCGCTCTTGTCACTGAGGCTGGAGTGCAATGGTGCCATCTTGGCTCACTAGAACCTCCACCTCCCAGGTTCAAGTGATTCTCTTGCCTCAGGCTCCTGAGTAGCTGGGATTACAGGTACCCACCACCACACCTGGCTAATTTTTGTTATTTTGTAGAGATGAGGTTTCACCATGTTGATCAGGCTGGTCTTTTTTTTTTTCTTTTTTCTTCTAGTCAGGCTGGTCTTGAACTCCTGACCTCAGGTGATCTGCCTGCCTCAGCCTCCCAAAGTAATGAGATTATAGGTGTGAGCCCCACTGTGCCCAGCTGATATATATATATATATTTTTTTTGAGATCAAGTCTCACTCTGTTACCCAGCAGGCTGGAGTGCAGTGGGGTAGTGATTCTCCTGCCTTGTCCTCTGGAGTCGTTGGGATTATAGGCATGTGCCACCATGCCTTGCCTGGACAATTTTTGTATTTTTAGTAGAGATGAGGTTTTACCATATTCCTTAGGCTGGTCTCAAACTCCTGACCACAGGAGATCCACCTGCCTTGATCTCCCAAATTGCTGGGATTACGGGTGTTAACCACCACACCTGGCCCAACAAATTCATTATTAAAACAGCTTTGTCAGGCCAGGTGAGGTGGTCCACACCTATAATCCCAGTATTTTGGGAGGCCAAGGTTGATGGCTCACCTGAGGTCAGGAGTTTGAGACCAGCCCGACCAACATGGTGAAAACCTGTCTCTACTAAAAATATAACAATCAGACAGGTGTGGTGGTTTGTGCCTGTAATCCCACATACTCTGTAGGCTGAGGCAGGAGAATCATTTGAACCTGGGAGGCGGCAGTTGCAGTGAGCCAAGATCACGCCACTGTACTCTAGTCTGGGTGACAGAGTGAGACTGTTTAGAAAATAATAATAATAATGAGTTTGGAGGTTTTTTTTGGACAGGGTCTCACTCTGTCACCCATGCTGGAAGTCAGTGGCGCCATCATGGCTCACTGCACTTGACCTCACAGGCCCAAGTGATCCTCCCACCTAAGCCTCCAGAGTAACTGGGCCACAGGTGCATGCCACTACACCTGGATAATTTTTTTAACTGATTTTGTCTTAGAGATGAGGTGTCCCTATGTTTCCCAGGCTGATCTTGAACTCCTGGGTGTGAGCTACCACACCTGACCTTCATGAGTTTTTAAAAAAGTCCCTTTATTGGCTGTGAGGTGGCTCATGCCTGTAATCCTAGCACTTGGGGAGGCGGAGGCAGGCAGATCATTAGGTCAGGTGATCGAGACGATCCTGGCTAACAGGGTGAAAACCCGTCTCTACTAAAAATACAAAAAATTATCTGGACGTGGTGGCGTGAGCCTGTAGTCTCAGCTACTCAGGAGGCTGAGGCAGGAGAATTGCTTGAACTTGGAAGGTGGAGGTTGCAGTGAGCCAAGATTGACCTTTGAGGCCGGGCCTATCTAGGTGACAGTAAACGCAGGCCTGAGGGATGGGTTTGAAACAGGTGGAGGCAGAGGCCATGGGGTGGGGAGAGAGTGAGAGGGAATCTCAGGCCCTGAAGGAATTGAATTGTGTTTTCAAATATCATCTGTTTTGGCCTGGGGAGTGGTTTAGCCTGTATTCCCAGCACTCTGGGAGGCAGAAGTGAGTGGTTCACTTTAAACCAGAAGTTGGAGACCAGCCTGGGCAACATGGGGAGACCTCGTCTCTATAAGAACACAAATATTAATTGGGCATGATAGTGCATGCCTGTCATCCCAGCTGCTTGGAGGCCGAGGTGGGAGAATGGCCTGAGCTTGAGTAGGTTGAGGCTGCAGTGAGTCCTGATTACACCACTACTCCAGCCTGGGTGACAGAGCCAGACCCTGCCTCAATAAAGACAAAAAAATTTAGGCTGAGTGAGGTGGCTCACCTGAGGTCAGGAGTTTGAAAGCAGCATGGCCAACACGGTGAAACCCCGTCTCTACTAAAAATACAAAAAGTTGGCAGGGCATGGTGGTGGGCACCTGTAATCCCAGCAACTGGAGAGGCTTGGCCAGGAGAATCACTTGAATCTGGGAGGCAGAGATTGCTGTGAGTGGAGATGGCACCACTGCACTCCAGCCTGGGCGACAAAACGAGGCTCTGTCTCAAAAACACAAACAGGCTGGGCTTGGTGGCTCAGGCCTGTAATCCCAGCACTTTGGGAGGTGGAGTCGGGCAGATTATTTGAGGTCAGGAGTTTGCGACCAGCTTGGCCAACATGGTGAAAGCCCGCCTCTATTAAAAATGCAAAAATTAGGGCCGGGCGAGGTGTCTCACGCCTGTAATCCCAGCACTTTGGGAGGCCGAGGCGGGTGGATCACGAGGTCAAGAGATCGAGACCATCCTGGTCAACATGGTGAAACCCTGTCTCTACTAAAAAATACAAAAAATTAGCTGGGCATGGTGGTGTGTGCCTATAGTCCCAGCTACTCAGGAGGCTGAAGGAGGAGAATTGCCTGAACCCAGGAGGCGGAGGTTGCGGTGAGCCGAGATCTTGCCATTGCACTCCAGTCTGGGTAACAAGAGTGAAACTCCGTCTCAAAAAAAAAAAAAAAAAAAAAAAGCAAAAATTAGCCTGGCGTGGTGGCATATGCCCATAATCTCAGCTACTTGGGAGGCGAAGGCACAAGAATCGTTTGAACCTGGGAGGAAAAAGGTTGCTGTGAACTGAGATAGCACCACTGAACTCCTGCCTGGGCCAAGAGTAAGACTGTCTCAAAAAAAAAAATTTAGCATCTATCCTTCCACACCATTTTTTAGAATGTTTTTTTTTTTTTTTTTGAGACAGAGTTTCACTCTTGTTACCCAGACTGGAGTGCAATGGCGAGATCTCGGCTCACCGCAACCTCCACCTCCTGGGTTCAGGCAATTCTCCTCCTTCAGCCTCCTGAGTAGCTGGGACTATAGGCACACGCCACCATGCCTAGCTAATTTTTTGTATTTTAAGTAGAGACAGGGTTTCACCATGTTGACCAGGATGGTCTCGATCTCTTGACCTCGTGATCCACCGGCCTCGGCCTCCCAAAGTGCTAGGATTACAGGTGTGAGCCACCACGCCCGGCTAGAATGTTTTTTATTTTAATTATTTTGTTGTTATTATTATTTTGAAACAGGGTCTCACTTTCTTGTCCAGGCTGGAGCGCAGTGGCTCAATCAGGGCTCTCTGCAGCCTCAATTTACCTGTCTCCAGCGATCTTCTCACCTTGGCCTCCTGAGTAGCTCCTTCTCACCTTGGCCTCCCAAAGTGCTGGGATTACGGGTGTGTGCCACCATGCCTGGCTAATTTTTAAATATTTTTGTGGAGAGGGAGTCTTGTGGCCAGGTGGAGTGGCCTATTGCCCAGGCTGGTTTTGAACTCACGGCTTTAAGCGATCCTTTTGCCTTGGCTTCTCAAAGTACTGGGATTAGAGGTGAAAGCTACCGCACCCACTCTATTTGTTATTATTTATTTTTATTTTTTTAGTCCTCAGGTCAGAATCTCCAGTGTTATTTAATTTTAATTGCGGTAGGGCGTGGTGGGGGCGGGGAACCACATACGTATAAAAAGCAGTTCCTGGGCCGGGCGCGGTGGCTCACGCCTGTAATCCCAGCATTTTGGGAGGCCAAGGCGGGTGGATCACGAGGTAAAGAGATCGAGACCATCCTGGACAACATTGTGAAACCCCGTCTCTACTAAAAATGCAAAAAATTAGCTGGGCATGGTGGCGTGTGCCTGTAATCCCAGCTATCGGGAGGCTGAGGTAGGAGAATTGCCTGAACTCAGAAGGCAGAGGCGGAGGTTGCAGTGACCCGAGATTGCACCATGGCCCTCCAGCCTGGGTAACAAGAGTGAAACTCCGTCTCAAAAAAAAAAAAAAAAAAAAAAAAAAAAAAATCAGTTCCTTCCTCAGGGTGAGAATTTAATTTTCTTTTCTTTTTAGAAACGCGGTTTCACCATGTTGGCCAGCTTGGTCTTGAACTGCTGACCTCAGGTAATCCACCCGCCCTCTGCCTCCCAAAGTGCTCGGATTACAAGCATGAGCCACCACACCCGGCCTTGGGTGAGAATTTAGTAAGACCTTCTGGGCTCTTTTCCTGACACACAGTAGTCACTCATAATTTGGCTATTTGGTTTTAATTTCGATTTAATAAGCATTTTTCTGTAGAAGACCTCATTTGGGCTTCACAACTTTTCAACCACATTTAGGATGTGCGTAGGGATATTTTTCATCATTCTATTGAGACAGAGACTGAGGATCAAAGGGAGACCACTTAGCGTCGAGGTGGCAGCCAATTAGAGTGGCGTGGTTCTCGGATCTTCTGGAAGCATCGGTTGCTCAACCAGATCTGCGCGCCCAGGCCCAGAACTCGCGGGCCCGGGACAGCCGCAGGCTCCCGCCCTCGCCTCGCCTCTGCGCTTGGCCGCTCGGCGCCATCTTTGAATCTGGCACCAATGCCTCACTTCCGCAGTTTTCCTTGCATAGGGGTAGTCGCGTTTGCCCTGATCCTGCTTTTTCTGGATACAGGGTATGCAAAACTGGTCAGGCTTCTCTCTCTTGCCAAGAAGAATCATTCATTTTCTTTCTTTCCGGCCTTGCAGAAGGCGTTGCGACCAATTCAAACATGGCGCCGCAAGCCTCAGGTTCCCGGTTTCCGCTAATGGCGGTGTAGTGGCGAAGGTCACGTCTTAGTGGACCGGCGCGAGAGGGCGGAGCCGTCTCCATGGCAACCCGCGCGCAGCGCTGGCTGCTCAGCCTGGTGGGAAGCGCGGGTGCTGCGGCGCTGGCAACCGGCGGGGTTGCGAGCGGCCCGGGGCCAGGGCGGCCGGGACCGTTGCAGGATGAGACCCTGGGTATGGCGTCCGTGCCCTCGCAGTGGAGGGTCGTCCAGGGCATCCGCGGGGAGACGGTGAGGGCGCGGGTCCCGCGCGGAGGTACGCGGGTGGGAATGCGTGGGCGCAGCGCGGCCGCCGGGCGGGTTCAGGTGTCCCACCGTTTGCCTTTCCAGTTTATTGCGTAGAAACTAACCCAGAGGATACTCTCGGCCCATTCTTTAAATAACAACAAAAAATGGAAAAACAACACCTCCAAGGATCCCAAGTTTTGAAAGATTTTGTGTGAACTGCAGTTTTTAAGCATTTCAAACAACTTTTTAGGTTTTGTTTCGTTTTTTTTGAGACAAGGTCTCGCTCTGTCGCCCAGGCTGGAGTGCAGTGGTGTGATCTTGGCTCACTGCAACCTCAACCTGCGGTGCTCGAGTGATCCTCCCACCAGAGCATTCAGAGTAGTTGGGACCTTAGACGCTCGCCAACATGCCTGCTTGTTTCTTTCTTTTACTTTTTTTTGGTAGAGTTGGGGGTCTCACTATGTTGCCCTGGCTGGTCTCCAATTCCTGGGCTTAAGCTGTCCTCCCTCCTTGGCCTCTCAGGGTGCTGGTGGTGTTACTGGCGTGAGCCACTGAGTCCAGGCTTTTTTTTTTTTTTGAGACAGCGTCTCGCCCTGTCACTCAGGCTGGAGTGCAATGGCACCATCTCGGCTCACTGCAGCCTCCGCCTCTCAGGTTCAAGCGATTCTCCTGTCTCAGCCTCCCTTTAGCTGGGATTAAAAGTGCCCGCCACCACGCCCGGCTAATTTTTTTGTATCTTTCGTAGATCCAGGTTTCACAATGTTGGCCAGACTGGTCTTGAACTCCTGACCTCGTGATCCACCTGCCTTGGCCTCCCAAAGTGAGCTCTTCAAAGCGGTGTGAGCCACTGCGTCTGGCCTTTTTCTATATTTCTTTTTAATGCCCAAACTGCATCGTAAATTCTAGATAAGCCAGTTTTCCAGTTGTTTAATCAAACGTGCACAAAAGGAGGTTCTCTGATGAGATGAGGGGCGGGGCTGCTGCGAGGTCACGGTTTCAGCCAAGGGGTCTGTGCAGACTTTGAGCTCGAGCACCTGCCGTGTGCCAGGATCTGTTCTGGGTTGGGGACTCAGAAAAGCAGACAGACATCTCTCCCTTCTGGAGCTTACATGGGGTGGTGGAAGGGGCTGTAACGTTAACAGTATATTTAACAAGTAGTGTTAGAAGGTGAATAGTTCCATGGACAAAAGAAAAAGAAGGCTGAAAGACTGGCAGGACTGGGTTGGGGATTGAGAGGGTGGTTTGCTGGGTGGGCTACAGTGAGAGGGTGACATTTTAGCAAAGACTTGGAGGAGTGATCATGGGCTGAGTGGATATCTGGGTTAGAGTCGTCTAGGCAGATGAAAAGTCAAGTGCAAAGTAGGGTGCTGTGGCATGGTGCCTGTAGTCCCAGCTAGTTGAGCGGCGGAGGCAGGAGGCTGCCTTGAGCCCAGGAGTTCGAGGTTGCAGTGAGTTATGATTGTACCGCCGTGCTCCAGCTTGGGTAACAGAGTGAGACCCTGACTCCACAGGGGGGAAAAAAAAGTCAGATGCAAAGGCCCTAAGGCAAATCTGTCTGAGGATGCAGGTGGGGTTGGAGCGGAGTGATGGGGAGGGAAGAGTGGTCCAGGTGAGGTCAGAGAGGGTAAGGTAAGGAAAAACAAGTCAGGTAGGGCCTTTTAGAGGACTTAGGCTTTCCCTCTGAGTGAAAATGAGCAGCATCAGGTGCTGCCCATGTCCCAGAAGAGAATACTGAGGCTAAGCTTGCTGCACAGGTGGTTGAACCTGCAGAGAGGCCAGATCCTCCTCAAAGCCGGTGAGGTTTCCATGAAGTCTTACTCTTGAGGACTGATTGCTTTCTTTTTTTGAGGGGTGGGGATGGAGTCTTGCTCTGTCGCCCAGGCTGGAGTACGGTGGTGCAGTCTTGGCTCACTACAGCCTCTGCCTCCCGGGTTCAAGTGATTCCTCTGCCTCAGCCTCCCAAGTAGCTGGGACTACAGGCACGTGCTGCCACGCACGGCTAGTTGTTTGTATTTCAGTAGAGATGGGGTTTCACCCTCTTGCCCAGGCTGATTTCGAACTTCTGAGCTCAGGCAATCCGCCCGTTGATGACAGATTTCTTGCTGCAGGCCTATAAATCTGCACAGCTGAAGCCAGGATCAGATCTGGCTTCCAATCACTTCCCACTTTGCTGTGCTGCATAAGAACTGTTTTCATGGAAAGCCAGGGCAGTGGGTGCTGTAGTTAACTGTCCATCCTTACCACAGGTCAGTTGATGATTCAGATGCACTGGCTTTTAAACAACACTTGAAATAGCTCTTGCTTGCTGAACATTTCTAGAAGATTCTAGGTTGGGATGGGGCTCAGTGGCTCACACCTGTAATCCCACACCCAGGAGGCTGAGGCGGGTGTGTCACCTGAGGTCAGGAGTTCAAGACCAGCCTGGCCTCTCTACTAAAAATACAAAAAATTAGGTGAGTGTGAAGATGTGCACCTGTAATCCCAGCTACTCTGGAGGCTGAGGTGGGAGAACCACTTGAACCTGGGAGGCAAAGGTTTCAGGGGGCCGAAATTGTGTCACTGCACTCTACCCTAGGCCACAGAGCTAGACTCCATCTCAAAAAAAAAAAAGCCACTGTGCCTGGCCGAAAATGATTCTAATACTTGGGTGTGAAGGCTTTTACCTGTGAGGGTGGTTCACTTGAGTCACTGTCAGCTCTTGTCTTAACTAAGAAAATTCTTTTTTTTTTTTTTTTAAGATGGGGTTTCACCATCATGGCCAGGCTGGTCTTGAACTCCTGACTTCAGGTGATCCACCCACCTTGGTCTCCCAAAGTGCTAGGATTACAGGCATAAGCCACCGCACCGGCCGGAAATTCTTATATGTTGTAAGAATGTTTCAAGGGCCAGAAGAAGGTGGCAAGTTACTTTTTCTTTCCTCCTTTCCCTTTCTTTTATTCTCTCTGCACTCTTCCCTTCTCCTCCCTCCCTCCCTTAGTTTCTTTTTTCCTTCCTTCCTTCCTTAGGGTCTTGCCCTGTCTCCCAGGTAGGAGTGCAGTAGTGCCGTCTTGGCTCACTGCAGCCTCCAACTTCCAGGCTGAAGCCATCCTCCTGCCTCAGCTTCCTCAGTAGCAGGGACTACTGACACACCACTGTGCCCAGCTAATTTTTAATTTTTTTTTGAGACAGAGTCTCTGTCACCCAGGCTGGAGTGCAGTGGCATGTTATAGGCTCACTGCAACCTCTGTCTCCTGGGTTCAAGTAATTCTCTCCTGCCTCAGCCTCCCTAGTAGCTGTAACTACAGGTGTGCACCACCACACCCAGCTAATTTTTGTATTTTTTTTTTTTTTTTTTTTTTTTAATAGAAATGGGTTTTCAACATATTGGACAAGCTGGTCCCAAACTCCTGACCTCTTGATCCACCTGCCTCGGCCTCCCAAAGTGCTGGGATTACAAGCGTGAGCCACCGCACCTGGCCTATTTTTAGGTATTTTAATAGAGAGAGGATCTGGGTCTTAGTAGTTCAAGCTGGTCTCAAACACCTCCTGGGCTCAAGCAGTCTTCCTGCCTCAGCCTCCCGAAGTGTTGGGATTATAGGTGTGAGCCACTGTGCCTGCCCAAGTTGCTTTTTCTTTCTTTGCTTTTTTTTTTTTTTTTTAAACAGAGTCTTGCTCTATTTCCCAGTCTGGAGTGCAGTGGCATGATCCAGGCTTACTGAAACCTCTGCCTCCCAGACTCAAGAATTTTCAAGCCTCTCTTCCAAGTAGCTGGGACTACAGGCGTGTATCAGCTAATTTTTTTTTTTTTTTTTTGGAAACAGGGTCTTGCTCTTTTGCCTAGGCTACACTGCAGTGGCGTGATCTCGGCTCACTGCGACCTTCACCTCCCAGGCTCAAGCGATTCTCATGCCTCAGCCCCACCATGCCCAGCTAATATTTTATCTTTTTAGTAGAGACAAAGTTTCATCATGTTGTCCAGGCTGGTCTCAAACTCCTGACTTAAAGTGATCTGCCTGCCTTGGCCTCCCAGAGGGCTGGGATTACAGGTGTGGACCACTGTGCCTGGCCCACCTGGATAATTTTTGTATTTTTAGTAGAGATGGGATTTCACCATGTTGGCCAGGCTGGTCTTGAACTCCTGGCCTCAGGTGATCCTTCCACCTTGGCCTCCCAGAAGAAGAGAATTGCTTGAATCCTGGAGGCAGAGGTTACAGTGAGCCAAGATGGTGCCACTGCCATCCAGCCTGGGTGACAGAATGAGACTCTGTCTTTAAAAAAAGTTGGCTGGGCACAGTGGCTTGTGCCTATAATCCCAGCACTTTGGGAGGCTGAGGTGGGTGGATCATGAGGTCAGGAGTTTGAGACCAGCCTAGCCAATATGGTGAAACCCTCTCTCTTCTAAAAAATATAAAAAATTGGCCGGGCGTGGTGGCTCACGCCTGTGGTCCCAGCACTTTGGGAGGCTGAAGCGGGTGGATCACGAGGTCAAGAGATCGAGACAATCCTGGTCATGGTGAAACCCCGTCTCTACTAAGGATACAAAAAAATTAGCTGGGCATGGTGGTGCGTGCCTGTAATCCCAGCTACTCGGGAGGCTGAGGCAGGAGAATTGCCTGAGCCTGGGAGGCGGAGGTTGCGGAGAGCGGAGATCGTGCCATTGCACTCCAGCCTGGGTAACGAGAGTGAAACTCCGTCTCAAAAAAAAAAAAAATATATATATAATTAGGTGCAGTTGCTTATGCCTGTTGTCTTAGTTACTCAGGAGACTGAGGCAGGAGAATCTCTTGAACCCAGGAGGCAGAGGTTCAGTGAGCCAAGATTGTGCCACTGCACTCCAACCTTGGCGACAGAGTGAGACTGTCTCAAGAAAAAAGAAATCTGGCTGTGGTGATGGGTGCTGTAATTCTAGGTACTTGGGAAGCTGAGGCATGAGAATCGGTTGAACCTGGGAGGCGGAGCCTCCAGCAAGCCGAGATTGTGCCGCTGCACTCCACCCTGGGCGACAGAGTGAGACTGTCTCAAAC